AACCTAGCAATATTCTCAACTGTTGATTGGTTTCCATTCCCATAAAAAAGGGTAAAATCTGGTATCCTGAAACCTCTTGGGTATTTATGTACCCTATCTACCCATTCTGGGTATGGTTTCCTGTATACAGGAGTCTGGACCCCCCGAGTCATCGGTCCATACATCTCTCTAACAATGTAAACAATTTGGTCCCTAGGGACCATATTTTGTGCCTGCTGAATCACTATTGGAGGGACAAACACAGGATTTGGTGGACAACCTTGTGCCTGTGGTCCTCTTGGTCCATAAGGTGTTATATTTGGGACTGGTTGTCCCTGTGGTACAGGTTGTTGTTGGGGGTGTGGGTAACCCCTTTGAGCCTGTCCTGTGAAAGGACCTGCGAAAGGTGCTGGAACAGGTGTTGTGTCCTTTCCATTTGTAGGAAAACCTTCTAACCCCCCGGGGTATAAATTCGAATAAGGGATTAGTGAACCCTCTCGTGCCAGGTATGGCTTCGAACATGGGATTTAGAATCATTCTTATACTATTTTCTTGTACCGGGCCAGATCCACCAATTTGCATGGCTTCACTGTTAAGTATTGAGGCATTTTGACCTGCCATAGGCCTCGAAATAGGTTCATACCAAGACCAAGGTGATGGTCTTTCATAGTTCTGATTACTAGTTTGACCATTAAAATGTCCATTAACTTGCATAGGCTGTTTATCTCTAGCCAATCTTTGTTGAGGGACAATTAAAACTTCCTCCATGTGTCTTGCGTTTGTTGGTTGGTGGTTATTCATTTGATCCAAAAAGGATGTTGCCCACCTTTCCATCGTGTTCATTAACTGCTGTCCCATGGCATCTACTAGGCCACCCCATGGATTTATTGGCTGAGTAGATGGAACAGTGGATGGTTCAATTCTTTGGTCTCGTCCAATATTATGAACATGTGGTACTTGGTCTGAAGTGTTGATCTGTTCGACCATAGGTTCTGATAAAATAAGAGTTCCCACAGGATGTGTTATCACATTATCCTCTGGATTAGGTATCTCTACCTCTCCTTCCATGCCTTCTTCCAAGCGTTCAATTTCCCTTTGTCTCCTACGTCTAGCCATTTCAATTAGTCTCACTGGGCGTGCCAAAAATATATGTTGACTTTTTTGGCTTTCGAAGGTTATTATTGTAATTGCGAGCGTGCCAGTAAGGATCAACCAGTCCTTACAGAAAATTAATTGCCAACCAATTATTAGACGATTGTGTTTTAATTTTTTCAGCCTCAATGAAGAGGACTTTTACTGGTGGCTTGATTTAGGAGAATTAAGCAAAATAACAATTAAATGAAGAACAACTGAAGTATTTCATTAAAATGAAAAACTTACAATGATTCAAACTTAGTCTCGTAGAGGTTTATAGCAACAATCTACTTAAACTACTCATATGAACGAAGTGCAGTGCAGGAATTTAAAGTACAGGAAATGTAAAACTGGAAAGGAAAATAAGTATAATGAGACTGGTTTTTTGGATCTGAGTCTGGGGGTCTTTTTGTGGGCCTTCTCTGTTATTTATACTTCTCAAGGATGACCATCGAACTGCATTTCTAACCGTTGAACTGCTCCTCCATGATCGCTGATCATGTTGCCTTATAATTAGCGCCACTATGTTATCACTTGCAGTTAGGCTTCCCTCTTAAATTTGAATTTAAATGTGAGTAACCGTTGAAGCCACATCACCTTACATCTCTTGGTCGATCCACTACTACTCAGATCTCGTAATAACCAATACTAGCTGCCACGTGTACGATCAGGATCAAAGACTTGAATAGTCTTCCTGTATTATCTTTATTCTGCCATGCGTCGAATTGTAATTGGCTTGTACAAAATATGTAGCCAACACCTTCTCACCCAACCTAACCTACAATCTAGTGGAGTTAGACTCTAACCACCACAAATCACCCAAACCTCTGTAGTCCCTCATTGTTATAACTAAATACCCTTTCTCCTTTGTACTGTAAAACATGTATGGTACAAGTATAACATATTCATGTGGTGCAAGTACAAACTATATGGGGTTATGCGCACTTGTTACTTGCATTGTGTTTACATTGCATTTGTCACAGCATAACACTTGTACACAACAATTTTTGCAACAATGGAAGGGATGAAGTCATGGTAGGAAAGGCCTAGATTCGTGTAATTTTGACAACTAGGGTTTAGATTGACTGTGTTGTTGGGTAAGATGGAAAGAGACTAGGGCAAAAAAAAAAAAGGCGAAAGAGTAACGATAAGGGTAGAGAAATGTAGGAAAAGTTATTTGGTAGTTGTTAAGTATAATCACATGATGCCCTAGATGTATTGTGAATGATAGAAGAGTGTGATCCATAATTTTATATTGGATGATCAAGATTAAGGAACATGAATAGCGATAGAGGCAAGATTTGGTCATTGGGCGAGCAAAGTAGGGTGGTGCGAACCTTAAACTGTTGCAGCATTTTTAATCGGTCAAGTTACTATTCTAAATTAATTTTCACACAATTAATTTTACCTTCCCTTTAAGCAGAAATATTTTTCATACACTTTTTATTAGATATGAACTAAGATAATTTGAAAAGGAAAGTAGTATGAAAATTTGAATGTGAATGCCTAACCCAGAAATAGGATTGCCTCCCATTTAATTTATAAATAAATGTGCAAGTGGGTATTAAAAAAGAGAGACTTACGTGTATATCTTAATAAGTGGATTTGTTATCTAATAGGTCCTATGAGAATTAATGACGTTTTTCATCGAATTCTATTAAAAAAAGTCATTAACTATTAATGTTCAACGTCAGTTTGAAAATTTTGTCACAATTTTTTTTACTAATTATAAGTTTTAGTAACAATTTAAAAAAAATCGTCACAAAAATGTCACTAATTTTCAACTTTCAACAACAATTTGAAAAATTCGTCACAGAAAAACGTTACTAATTGTAGGTTTTAGCGACAATTTATAAAAATCATGTCAAAAAAAGTCACTAATTATCAAATCTTAACGACATATGTAAAAAATCGCCACATAAATTATTTTTAACAATAATTTTATTTCAACTTATATTCAATACGACTTAATGGAAGTAAATACAACTATTAAAACCTATCGGTAATTTACCCATTAAAAAAGACCTTTCCAAGAAAAAATAAAGATACAATAGAGAATGAAGGACACAAACATACTTACATTAAAGGAAAGAAGGACATTGGAGTATTAATGGAGTCTCTTTTTAATAAAAATTGTAAAAGGATGAAGATTTTTAAGTAGTGTTTGACTTATTAAAGTAGATTGAAATGAAATATATCAAAATTTTTATTTCTTTATTTGGTTAACTAAAATAATAATAATAAACATGTTACAAATGAAATTATCATTTAACATTATAAGAGAATGATAACTTAATAAAAGAGTTTAATGAGTAACTATTCCATTAACTCTATCTCATACCAATCAACTAAATAGAGCATTAACTTTCACCTTTAGGAGGAACAAAAGTATTAGAGGAAAACAAAATCAAAGCAGGGATAGGTATGTGTATTTTGCATTGGGGGTCAACTGTAAGAAAACAATGTAAACACCGCATGGTATTTTATAGAACGTGAGGGAATATAATAACTTGTGATTGGTCAAGGACATAGTCATGTGGTGTTTTTAAACTAAGAAATAATTTTTTGATTTATAGTGACAGAAAATGATGAAAGAGGGATTGGGGGTGGTGAGAAAATGTGGAAAAGGAATAGCCTTTTTTGATTTGTATCTAGAAATACAATTTTTAACAGAAAAATCTTAAAAGGTTGTTTGGTCAAAAAAAAATTTTAAAAAATTCAAAATTACTTTTGTCACTACTACACATGAATTAATTATTTTTTCTCTCCCCTCTCTTACACATCATTCAATTATTTATTTCTTCCACATCCATCTATTCAATTATTAAAAAAAAATTAAATCATCTAAAATTTAAAAACTATTCTTAAAACATACAACTAAACAAAATTTTAAATTTTGTAAATTTTTTTAATTTTTTTTAAGAATGATTTTACAAATATAAACCAAGCATACCCGATAGTGACCGAAGTTGCGGCATTTTGAGAATAAGGGGGTTGCCACCGCCTCTCTGTCTATATGAATTTTCACCCTTTTAATAATTAATAATATAATAGTAATAATAATTTATTTTTACCACAGATTTGTAATATATTGCCCAAAATGATACACCACCTCTTTTATTTGTGTGATTTTCACTCTTGCATTAATTAAATATTTTAACCACTATTTTGTAATACATCGACCAAAATGGAATTTGTTATTTTTCCAATGCAAAGAAGAAATATACGATCCTCTTTGGGAGAAATTTTTATATGTGAATAGACTATCATATAATATTATCTTTTATCAATTATAAATGTATATATCATTATTATTCTTCAAACACTTATTATAATAAATATAAATATAGTGGATTCTATTGTTAAAGTTAATCACAATAATAAATAGTATCATATAACATATACTCTATCTGCATGTAAAAATTACTCATATTTTGAAATTTTTAGGCAATAATAGGAAAAAGTTTTATATAAGAAAAAGATACTAAGTGACACTACCTTCTACCAATCACAAATATATATGCTCTTAATATTTTCTAAACATTCAATAATATAGTTTTATATTCTATTATCTTTTATCAATCATAATAATAATAGGTACCATTAGTGGCGGAGCTAAGAATTTAATATAGGGGGCACCCATTAATTACAATCTCAAATTTTTTTCTTCCCAAATCAATAAAAATAACATAATAATAATTCTTCGAACTAATGTTAAACATTAAAAATTAATATCCATTACAAAACATTTTAAAATTTAAACTTTTACAATTGACCCCGACGAGTTTTCATCTTTTGAAATCTTTCCATAATAGTATCATTGTCAATGCCATCAAAAATATCTCTCTCAATGTAGACAATCAAGCTATCATTCATCCATTCATCACCTATTCGGTTCCGCAACCGATTCTTCACAATATTCATAGCTGAAAATATCCTCTCAACAGTAGCAGTTGCAACAAGTAAGATTAATGCTAAAGTCAAATACACCAATGGATATACTTTGTCTCTTTCAGTCTCTACTATTTTCTTAGCAAGATCGACAATTCCATTCAACATTGAGAACTCAATACTGGATAGCATGTTGATAATATATGTATCAAGTTGATCATTAAGTACCATGAGCTCCACTGAAGAAAATTCTTTGGGATAAAATTCAGCAAGATGAATTAACTTTTTCCTGTCAAAACTAGAGAAAGAATTAGATGGATTCAAACATGCCACACAAAGTAACAACTCAGTGTTCGACTCAGTGAAACGAGCATTTAGTTCTTGAATTTGCATATCTAAAACAATGTAGAATAACTCAGCGCGATAGTAATGTAAGTTTGTAATTTCTTGAGAATTGCGTCTTTTTCTCCCTCGAGCTACAAACATATCCTCCATTTGGGGAACATCAATTTCATGCTTTTCACAAAAAGATAAAATATCATCAAGTAAAGATGTCCACCCACTCTCCCTCATCTTTTGGAGTCGTACTTTAGAAATTTGAACTAAATTCATGGCATTAACAATATCTTGATCTTTCCTTTGTAGTGCTTGCGATAACTCACTTGTAATAGCCAATATCGTTTTCATCAAATGAAGGTTGAATACAAACTCAAACGATTGAATTGAGTCCAACAATATATTTGCTTCTGCTCGTTGTTCTGAATTTGAACCATCCTCCGAAATCATTTCAAGCACATTAATCGCTGTTGAAAACATACTAGCCAAGCTGGCTAAAGTACCATAGTGTGAACCCCAACGTGTATCACCAGCATGTGTAAGATTAGTTTCTTGATTTAAGCCTTGCCTACTAGATAGCTCTCCAGTATTAAGTGCCTCAGCAACTTTTGCAGCTTGCTTCTCCCTAACAATATCTCGGCGTTTACATGATGCTCCAACAACATTCACCACATTAGAAACCAAAATGAAAAGTAAAGCAATTTGATTATGATTCTTTGCACGGCTACAAGTGACAATTGCAATTGATGAGCAAAACAATGAACATAATATGCACAAGGATTCTCTTTTAGTTTAAGTGTTTTAAGACCATTGAACTTACCTTGCATATTACTAGCCCCATCATATCCTTGACCCCGCAATCTAAAAATACTCAATCCAAGTTTGGAGAATAAATTTTCCATAGCTTGTTTAAGTGAGAGAGCATTCGTATTAGCAACATGCTCAATACTCAAAAAGCGCTCAATCACTTGGCCTTTTTTGTCAACATATCATATTACAACTGCCATTTGCTCATTGATTGATATGTCACGGGCTTCATCAATCAAAATAGAAAAAAGTGCATCACCAAGATCTCTAATAATCACATTGATAGTTTCAAATGCGGCCACATTTACAATGTCTTTTTGAATATCAGGAGATGTCAACTTGAGATTTTGTGGAGCATTGCTCAATGCGACCATTTTGACATCTTCATTATGATCAGCAAGAAACTTGAGAAGTTCAATAAAATTTTCTTGGTTACGTGAATTTGCAGATTCATCATGCCCATGAAACGCAAGTCCTTGTCTTAGAAAAAATTTAACGCAATCAACTGATGAATTCAAACGGGTTCGATACTCAATTCGAGCTTGTACAGATTGTTTGAAAAAAATCATTTCAATATGTTGGTTTTGGTTTAACAAGTCTTGACAGTTACTCCAAGCTTGATTATGAGCACTATTGGGACCTCCAACATGAGTCTGAATTTTTTCTTTTTTCTTCCAATTTTAGAAACCCTCACCAACAAAAGAATCACCACCGGCTTGATCTCCAATATCGGGTTTGAAAAGATAACAATATAAACAAAATGCTGCATCTTTTGCTACACTATACTCCAACCAATTAGGAAATTCACTAAACCAAGCCTGATTAAATCACCGAAATTTTTGTCCAAATGATTTTTGTGGAAAATTATGATCATGAGGTTGACAAGGACCTTTTGTAGATATGCCCTACGAATTCGATCTCGATCATTAGCATTATAGTCCATAATCTGAGGCCGTAGTCCTGGATCTGCAGGAAGGTCTACTAAGTTGATTTCTATGCGACTTTGTTTTGCGGAAGAATAATTTTCATCTTTTTCTTGAGAAAGAAACGATTCCCACTTTGATTTTCTTTTGAAATATTTCTCCATGACTATTTGAAAAAACTAAAAATCAAAATAAAAATTCATAATCAAAATCTTAAACCCCCCACAAATCAAAATCTTTAATTTTAATACAAATCAAAAAAATTAAATTAGCACAAATCACAACAAATCAAAATTTTTAATTTTAGCACAAATTATAACAAATCAAAATCCCTAATTTAAATATTAATCACTGCAAATTAATATTTTTAATTTTAGCACAAATCAAATTCCTAATTTTAGCACAAACAACAACAAACCAAAATCCCTAATTTTAATATAAATCACCACCAATTAAGATTTATAATTTTAGCATATCAAAATCTCTTATTTTAACATAAATAATAACAAATAAAAAAAAAAATTTACAAATCAAAACTTAACAAATAATTATCAATTAATACTCATAATTTTTATTTAAAAGTTAAAAAAATAATAATAAAGTTACCTGTAAACAATGAAGAGAAGATACCAAGGTTGTAGTGTGGTCCCAAATCTGTGTTTTGTAATCTTAATTTAGTGAATCGCGAGTCGGTAAATTGCAAAACAACAAAGGAAACAAAGAAGACAAAGAAAATATGAAAATACTTCACAAGTACTGTGAATAAATAAAAAAATAAAGAATTTCATACACTTATAGGGTTTTAAAGTTTTAAATCTTATTGTAATTGGAGTTATGTATACTCACCTAAAAAAAAAAGTTATGTATCAATATTTGATTGTGATTGGGATTCTTAAAAATAAATAAATAAATAAATAAAATTAAAATAAATGAAAGTACAAACTTGGGCGTCTAGTGTGTGGTGTGTGTGCGTGAGTGGTCAGTGGGTTAATGCGTGTGTGAAAGTCACACTTTTATATATAAAAAAAAAAAAAAAAAATTGCAAAAGTCCCGTGAGCCCAAGCTCCCTCTGCCCCTGGGTACCATATGAATGGGCTGAGCTTTCCTCTGGTCTATGATTGGACTAAGGGTACTGTTAGATTTGTGGGGCTCACCCACGGGTTTAATTTTGATAATTTGAATCTTTTAATATGTAGAATTTATTGAGTACTATATGCCTGTCAAAAATCACGTTGATCGGATATCGATAGCTATCTCATCAGATCAGATTTCTGTCAACTGTTTATTTTTTTACCGTCTATTTTCTTTTTATACAAAACTAATTTAATCACATAACTATCGATATCTAATCAATTTAATTTTTTTTTAAAGTATATAATACTTAATAAATTCTACACATTAACAATTAAAATTATCAAAATAAAATAAACAAAAAAATATACCGTATTCGCATACAAAATTCACTCTGATAATAGAGTTGGCCGAAATATTCGGGTCCAATATAGATATCAATTTGTGCGGTTTAGGAGAGGCTCGCCCACCGTCTATAAATCAGACCCCTCGAAGCCAAACCTATCTTTGCCTCTCTCATCAATTCTCTCTCTCTCTGCGCCTCGTTGTGTTCTTCTGCCAAATACGATTCAACAGGTATGAATTATTATGTAATTTCTTGATTTCTTTTGGTTGATCTTTACTTGCGCAAATATGTATGATCGATTAATCAAAATCGGATTTCACTTTCTTTCCCTTTCTTTGTTGGGTAATTCATCGCTCTTGTTTATTATTCTTTTAGTTGATTTTGTTATGGGATTTTTGACGCTTGAGTTTGTTGTGATATGCAATTTTTTATTTATTTATTATTATTTTTGGTTCCAGTTTTCCATTTATCTTATATTTCCCTAATTTTATAGATTAATTTCGATGTATAATATTGGACTGTAGTTTGTGGGTCAGAGGAAAAAAGAAAAAAAGAGGGCTTTTTCTTTCTTCTTGCTTATGTTGGGAATGGTTTTGGATAGAAAAATAATATTTGCCACCAGATTTATGTTATTTCGCTTCTTTCGTGTAGTCATGCAATAAATAGTAGTGAAGAGAAGAGTTTCAGTGAACTATTTGGGGTGATAGCCGACCTCTTTTTTAATGAAGGTTGAATTATACAAGATCTGAACTTCATATACAAAGGCACAAATTTTGCTTGTCACAAATCTTTAGCATTTTGCAATTACCACAGTCCAATGTGCGTGGATGCATGATATAGGGAAATGGGTTACACCTTTTATGCGGTATGATCTTGTAATCTATGAAGCATTGGTGCTTTGAAAAACATGTTGTACCGGGTACTTATTGGCCTATGGAACTTCTTTATACGTACCAGTTTTTCATCTTAATTTTTGGCATGTCCAAACGTAACTAGTATATACTCGAGCTGTATCATATCTCAGTCGAAACAATATTTTTTTCTATTGCAAAGATAAAATTCATTTCATTAGATTTCTTTTTTTTTCTTTTTTTTTTTAGTTTTATGGTTAGCAAAGTTTTAAAATTAAGTTATGATTTGTAATAAGTAATTTAATATCATAATGACATTTAATTTTAGTTTATACCTTTACTTTTGGTATTAAATGTTAATTGTAAGTTGGATCTTAACAATTTAATCAAATTTTGCATTATTTTAAATTTAAAAAATAAATATTTTTTTACAAACGTATCAAGCTTTATCTGTACCTTTTTTTTTTTTTGGATTTTACCATATTGACGTACCCGTATCATGTCCGTATCCGTACCCGTACCCATACCCGGTACATTTTCATCTTGTTGTTGTGATCTTTTTTAGGAGTCACCGACATTTCAATACATTTTTACTGTATGTGTGTATGTGTATGGGGTGCGACCCATATACATACAAATTGAAAGCAACAGAACTTGAAAACAACCTATGCGAAATCCTCTATGCTATAGTCTCTACAAATTCTAGAAATTAGTTCAACTATTGATCTATATTGTGCAAGAACCAACTATACAAAATAAAGAAGAAACTACTTTTCAATTGAAATTTTATTGCATCCTTGCCATCAAAAGTCCTATTTGGTGATTTTCACTCATCACCAAGAAGTTAGATTATACTATTGAAGATGCATTTCTTGTTTTGGCAATTGTTTTTTATTTTTTTTTATATATATAATCCATAGGAGGGGAAGGGGAAGCTGCACCATGTAGCGGTGAAACTCACACTCGGGTACCTATATGCACATTACCCACTATTGGTTTCTCTTCTTTTGGTATATAAAGGATGAGAAATCTTAGTTATTTTTAATTGTTTGCTTTAAATTAGTTCTCTTGTCACCTCCGATATTCCCCTGTTTGTTCGGTGACAGTTGGCTATACAAGTCAGCTAGTTGGCACTTTGTGTTCATCTAAAATTATCATAATTTGCTGTGGTGGTAAAGTTACTTTACTTAGGAAAGTGACTCTCACTAATGATTTTGATTTCATGTGCTCCATGTTCTATATCATGTTTTGTGGACCACTATCAACTTTTAATTGTACTTTTTGAAGAGAAACATAGATGTTATTTTACAATCTACACGGTAAACACGTCAATTTCTGTAGGCTTTTCATTGCCACTTTTCTCAATATTCTTTGGCATTCCTACTAAATATTGATTTGATATCATGTTCTCATATCTATTATATTACATAACAATGTAATTAAAATTAATGTCACGCTATATTTTGTTTCATGCTAGAAGGGTGCACACACTACATGTGTGTAACATATTCTGACTCAAATTTAAAAGTAAACTTGTAAATTTGATTTTCAAAATTTGAAAACTGCTGTGAAGAACGTGTGTAGGTGAAGGGAAAAAGTTTTTTTATTTTTTATTTTTTATTATTGAATTTACACGTGGCAAAAGCTTCAAGAAACTAAATTTAGGCTTCACTTAATATAATAGTATAGATGCTAAACATGCTATCATGGTTGTTAAGGTGCACCTAGCCCTCAAAAGGCTTGCAGGCTTGTTAAGGTTTGTTGAAGCACTTCACTTTGTGCTATGCCAGACCCCTTCAATTAGGCCCACAAAAATCCCTTGGGCGCCATGTGCCTTTATTAAGCTTCAGGCTCAAGAAAATCGTACCTTTCTTTCTTCATCTTCTTTTTAAATAATTTCAATAATTTATTTATCTTTTTATTTTGCAGTGCTTAAGAAGTACTGACACTTTTAAGAAGGTAATATGTCGTGTTCGACACTAAAACGACACTTGTCGGATACCTCCCAACACCCAAGACATACACAAAACATATTATTAGTTTGCAAAAAAAAAAAAAAATGTCACTTTATATATGTTTTTCTCCTTTAGACTTTAAAAATTATTATATTTGACTTAAACATTTATATACATGACGTATAATAATTTTTCTCTCCCTTATATATGACATATAATATAATCAGAATCTTACGATTCGCGATTCGATTCACGATTCGATTCGCAATTTTTGCAAAATCGATACGAATCTAAGGGTGAATCTATTTTGGAGGTGAATCTCTAGTGAATCGCACGATTCACAATCGATTCACGATTCGATTCACTTTTTACGATTCATGCAATTTTTAAAATTATTGTGTTCGACATATTTTCGACTCTATTTTTTCTCCATCTTTTTAGTAAAAATGACATAATGCAACTTCTAATAGCATTTAATATCAAAATAACCAGCATATATACATGATTTGTTGTTATTTTAGTGATCATGAAGTTTTCAATAGAATCCAATTAGATTTAATCAGACCTAGCATATTTTTAACCTTTCTTTTCATTTTTTTTTTTCCTTTAAAAAATCGTAATATACCTTCTAAAGATGTTTAAGATTAAAATTATACTATGAATTATCTATTGCTATTTTATTAAATTAAATATTATATGTATGAGGTCAGTTATACTTTTTAAAATATTTTAAGCTTTAAAAAAAAAGATTTTAAAAGATTCTTTTTTATTATTTGCTCACTGTTACTTAGAAAAGTATGTATGCTTATTATCCAAATATCAATATCCTTGTTAATTATTGCTACTTTAGAAATTGATAATTTGTCCATTTGGTTATTATTTTTATTAAGAATAGTTGATAAGAAATATCTAAAAAAGGAAAAAAAGGTAAGATGGTGATCTTACATAGGAACGTTTGTTAACTTCTTACTTATTAAACTCTGTGATTATCATTCAAAATAACATTTTTATTAACTTAAGTCTAAATATTTTATATTCATAAGATATATTTAACATCTAAATGTGTAAATATATGTTTTTAAATAATTTAGAAGAAGTGACCGAATCTTTACGATTCACGATTCGATTCGATTCACGATTCGGTACGAGACCATTTCGATTCACGATACGAATCCCGATTTGACAACTATGATCTTACATAACAATGTAATTAAAATTAATGTCACGCTATATTTTGTTTCATGCTAGAAGGGTGCACACACTACATGTGTGTAACATATTCTGACTCAAATTTAAAAGTAAACTTGTAAATTTGATTTTCAAAATTTGAAAACTGCTGTGAAGAACGTGTGTAGGTGAAGGGAAAAAGTTTTTTTATTTTTTATTTTTTATTATTGAATTTACACGTGGCAAAAGCTTCAAGAAACTAAATTTAGGCTTCACTTAATATAATAGTATAGATGCTAAACATGCTATCATGGTTGTTAAGGTGCACCTAGCCCTCAAAAGGCTTGCAGGCTTGTTAAGGTTTGTTGAAGCACTTCACTTTGTGCTATGCCAGACCCCTTCAATTAGGCCCACAAAAATCCCTTGGGCGCCATGTGCCTTTATTAAGCTTCAGGCTCAAGAAAATCGTACCTTTCTTTCTTCATCTTCTTTTTAAATAATTTCAATAATTTATTTATCTTTTTATTTTGCAGTGCTTAAGAAGTACTGACACTTTTAAGAAGGTAATATGTCGTGTTCGACACTAAAACGACACTTGTCGGATACCTCCCAACACCCAAGACATACACAAAACATATTATTAGTTTGCAAAAAAAAAAAAAAATGTCACTTTATATATGTTTTTCTCCTTTAGACTTTAAAAATTATTATATTTGACTTAAACATTTATATACATGACGTATAATAATTTTTCTCTCCCTTATATATGACATATAATATATATAATTTTTTTCCTTGCATCTTCTGAAAATTTTCATGTCGATGTGTCCATATCATGTTCAGGATGTGTCATGTGCCTGTGGTTCTTAGTTTAGTGTTCATTACTTGATGTCTTATTTCAAGTTCATAATATTTTAGATAGATAATATTGTTTAATTGTTCAATTATTTTAAGCTTTCATTTTTCTAGTTTATTGTGGCCAACTTTTTTGTTTTTCTGTTCTAACTTGGCAATTTTCAAGTATTGGTCATTGCTCTGGTTGTTTGAGAAGGTGTTGTGGGCAAATTCTATTTGCACAATACCTTCTTGAGTAAGTAAACTCACCTTTGATTTGTAACGTGTTGTGGGGAAATTCTATTTGCATACTATAAAAAAAATCTCAGTATATGTCATTTGTATAGTTTGGACATAACCTTCCAAACAAAAGTCAAATGTATGGACATAAACTTTCGAACAAAAATGAATTGTCCAGATGTACATTTTGTTTAACTTTTTATGTCCGAACAATTGTTTTTTGTTCAGAAGTTTATATCCAACATTTGACTTTTGTTGGGAAGGTTATGTCCAAACTATACAAATGTTGTGTACTGAGATTTTATATAGTGTGCAAATATAACTATCTGGCGTTTTGGTGTGATTTAGAGAAAGTAGTATAAAATGTAACAATAAGGTTTTTAATATTGTCTTTGGATTTTTTTGAATTAATTTTTTTAAATTTTAATATAGGTAATGGTTTCAATGGTGCATAACATTGGAGAATGTGCATTTCCTTTTAACAGTAGGGTCCTGTTGTAGTATTTGTATCTCTCTCTCTCTCTCTCTCTAAATTGGTGATGGATGAGTAGACCGGGTATGTTTAGGAAGAGTTGACATGGTGTACATTGTTTGTGGGCAATCGTATACTTGTTGGCAATGGAGATGGGTAATTTAGAAGGCAAACTTATACAGTGAAACTATTTAAATGGAAATCTTGATGGCAAACTGTGCTCAAGATATGGAAAAAATTATCAAGGAGACCACTAACTCGAGTTATTTCAGGATTAAAATTGCACTTGCTTATTGAGTCATTTTATAAATTAAGAGCAGGGTTTGACGGAAGAGTGATATGGGGAAAAAATTTTAAATGTTGACCTTTGCAATTTGGACTTTGGATAGTAGTCATAGTACATTAAAAGGGGTAGTTTTGCAGTTGGCTAAGAAGAAATGTCTATGAAATAGTGCGCGCGTGCCAGGAAGGGATGTAGTCCACAAGAAGAGCACAAAAAGTCAAACTAAGGAAGCAATCAAGTTTGAAAGTTTCAAGCTGAACTCAATGGGATAGACTGGTGATATGTATAATTAAGTTTCAGGGCTTAGTTGAGCCTCATATTATGACAATTTAGGTTAGATTTTAATTTAGAGGTTGTTTGGAATGACCTAAATAAGTGCACTTTTTGTCTTTTTACGAAAAGATGTGCAGAAAAGTAGAGAGGTGATGTGATAGAAAAAAGATAAAAAGATGGATTATTTTGCAATTGCCAAACTTGGCCTTAGTCAATTTTCTAGGTTAGTGGTATTTTGGTAATTGTGGTAAGTTGCAAATTTTATGAACATGGGTTTTATGGTTTTCTTATCGATTGTCTTGTGTGTCAGGTTATGTATAATATGAGTTTTTATTCAAGTCTTATTATTTGGTATTTAGATAGGTTTAGAAGTGCCACTTTAGAAATTTTAGTCTTAGTTGGTGACTGTGTTACATGGACTCATCTATTTCCTCCCACAGTAAAGCTGTGCAAAATACTGCCCAATCCGCTAAAACCGCACCGATCCGCATCAATCTGCACCGCTCTAAATATTAAAGTAAAAATGAGTGTGAGAGAGATTAAGATATGAAATTTATTACAAAATAGTAGTTATATATATGAAACATATTATATAAAATTATTTTGTTTTATATGTAAAAAAATATTATACAAATTAGTATTATATATTATGCAAATGTATGATAATTAGTTAGAATATTCTTCAATTCGCCAAAAACTGCCCAAATCGCAATTTGTCAATCCGCCAATCGGCTATTCGATTTATAATTTTACTCTCAAACCGCCTAAACCGCACTGCGTACACTCCTTGTGTCCACTGAATATGTCATGGGTGAGGGTGTAGGATATGTGTCCGACACTCGTATTCAATGTAGACACTCAGATTCTTTAATTTGTTACAATATATGAGAAGAAGAAACCCACATTTGTTAGTAAAGCAATAATTTTAGCCTCACATGAATTAGATATTAAAATTTTATATTTTTCCCGAATCCTATTCAATTTCAAGTATATTTCTTTATAATTTACAACATTTCATCTGAGAATATTATATAATATATGCAATATATATGTATATATGACGCATCCCCGCATCCATATCTAATTTTAGATATGTATTCCTAAGATCCTAACTTTTAAATCTATGAAAGAGTGCCTTTAATAGGTTTGGATACATATCCGCACCTGATACTGTAACATAGGTTGGTGAAGGAAGTCTACATTGCCTATATAAAACACTGTAATGTCGATAGAGAACATGAATGCAATCAAATTTTAGGTGTGGTGACTAAGGCTTTCAATGAATGATTCTTTGAATTTCTTTCGTCATCTTTTTTCACTTTTCTGCACTTCTCTAGTCTTTAAAACCACACAAAACAGATCTGTATTAACCCTTATTCAATCACCAAGCATCAAAGCTCCTTAACCCTAGCACCCTCCTTGCAAAAGAACTGAAAACCAACCAAGGTGCTGTTCACAGCACCTAGAACAGTTCCTGAACCTTCCTCTTTACTCTCAAATCTCTACCCTTTTGTTACTCCATACAAATTCTTATGTTTACGACATTTTGGCCACAAAGTCAACTAATTTAGCCCCAAAGTGTAGGTTTTATGGTGTCATATTGTAATTTTGAATGCATTACTAGTAGGGGAGAGTAATCCCTACCTCTCCTACATCAGAAAGAACTATAATTTTTGAGTCATTAAATAATTGCAGTGACAATAGCATTCTTTTTTTGCCAAGTATGACAATGGCATTTATGATGTAGTTCTATGATGATTTTTGCATTAGATTCATCTGCTACAATTATACATGAAGGTGATTTTACTTTATCATGTTTAAGGTGTAGCAATATAGGAGTATTGCTTTTGTTGATTCTAGTTCAAATTTTGTTCATTTGTTTGCTTATTTTCCTTATTTATTTATTATTTGTTTTGGGGTGGGTTTGGGCTTCAAGGGGATCTTTATTGCATTTTTCTTTGGTTTTTAAGCTTTGATGAACAGTTATGTATAGTTTTTGAGTTGTTGAATTTTATGTGCCAACTGTTTCAGCTCTGATCATTCTGAGTAAAATCAAAGGAGATTACAATCTGTTATTCTATTTTGACAAGAAGTTTCATGTCTGATTTAGACGTCCAGATTCCATCTACTTTCGGTATGTTGTCTTTGTTCACTTGATGATTTGATGACATTTAGAAGCAACATAGCACAGACTAATTGCCTTACTTGTATTTTGGTTTGTGGGTGGTTGTGATATGTGGGAGCAGATGCTTTTGCTGACGCAAATGCTGAGGACTCTGGTGCTGGGACCAAGGAGTATGTGCATGTGCGTATACAGCAACGCAATGGACGGAAAAGCTTGACCACTGTGCAAGGGTTGAAGAAGGAATTCAGCTACAACAAGATACTCAAAGATCTCAAGAAAGAATTCTGTTGTAATGGTACTGTTGTCCAAGACCCTGAATTAGGCCAGGTGTGTTCTTAACCCTTTCTCTAAATATTCTACCACACACCCCTTATGCTTTCTTTCGTTCATCCTGGTACTTCATTTGATAAAAATAAATGTAAGTGTTATTGAAGACTTGTCATGCCCAAGGAGGGTTGTCATGATGTTGGTTGTTTCCTCTTATTCTTCTTTCACCAAAAAATAGAAAGGAGAGAAGAAAAAACTACAATGTGGTGTGTAGAAAAAGGAAATTGAATAATCTCTCTTCATTTTGCCTTTTGGATTGATCCTTTGGGTTGTCTTACACGACTTAGTGCTGCAGATTAGATTTCATTTCCATCATATTATTTTCCTTACCAAAATGAACAAAAGACCTCAGTTTCCATTATATTATTTCCTACCAAAAATGAACAAAAAGCCTCGGTGCTACTTTTGCGTTGATACAGGTGATTCAACTTCAGGGTGATCAAAGGAAGAACGTCTCCACATTCCTGGTGCAGGTGAAATTGCTAGACTGGATGTTCAGTACATGCTATTGACAAATAATATATTTTTGTAACGTGTAATTTATGTGAAGTTTGTTTTTTTCCATCAACAGGCTGGCATCGTGAAGAAGGAACAAATCAAGATTCATGGTTTTTAAACAGCAGACAGATCAATCTCCTATGCAGTTTCACATCTTTAGCCTGTGCCAACAATAACAATAACAATATTATCTGAACTTTAATAGTGTCGGTACTTCAACATACTTTACCATCATCATTTTACTGATTACATGTATGATTAATCAGCTTGATACAGGACATTGTGTCTCAGTTTGCTAGTTCTGCTGCCTGCTTTGTGTAATGTGATAGGATTATGGGTTATTCCAAAACCTTCATCTGTATTAGTAATAAAATTCTGTTTGAACACAATAAAAAAAAATCATGTTTTGAGATCTTGTTTCTATGGTGTCTGTCTGTATTGGCTATGATATATTTTGGTTGCTTGAAGGGAATATGGTTTCTCTGTGGATTGTGACATTAATGCTGTGTTTGATTAGGGGATTTGGAAAAGGGTTTGAAAAGGAAAAGGGAAAAGGTAGGTAGTTATACCCACTTTTTTTTTTTTTTCTTTTTCAAATTTTTTCCCAAATTTTTCAATCAAACACAGCATAAACCGTGATCTCATAGTGTTGAGAAATGAGTCATTCATAGTGTTGAGAAACGAGTCATTCGACATGTTAATGCATTTCTTTCTCTGTTTATTGCTCTGCGCTTTCGTGATATTGGGTTCTCTTGGTGGGGATCAGCTTGTAGGACTAAGCTTAAGGATCAACTTTTATTTCAACATTTCTAAGATTTGTTGTACTGTGGTGGTGATGGTTGTTTCAATATGAATTTGATTGGTTAGTTTGTTAGTGGGCCCTTGGTGGAATTCCTCCCTTTTAGAGATAAAGGTAAGCTTTTATTTTGTTCTTTATCAAATTTGCTGGTTATGACAATGCCATATATGTTGAACGTTCATCATTCATCAATGGTAATGATGTCAAAGTTAAACAGAAGTTATATTTGGTTCATTGATATGAAGTGAGACACAAATGATTCATTTTATATATATGTTTGGTTCATTGGTATGAAGTGAAGTGAAACAGACATGACTCATTTTATATAAATGTTTGGTTTATTGGTATGAAGTGAAACAGGCATGACTCATTAATCTAATCTGGTGATATTATTATCTTACTTAATCATGTTCACAATTCCGTATTATCCAATTCTTTTGAATGCTATTGGTTTATAGTTTATCATCTTTTTGGCTTTTTAGTTTTTTAGCCAAAAAAGATAGCTTTTTTAACCAAAGAAGTCAGTTTTTTTGCCAAAAAAATTAAAAAGTCAAAAGTTAATTTTTTATCAACTTTTCAAAACACCACATTATACTAGGAGAGATGAGGGGCATCGTCTTTATTTATTTTATTTTATTTTTTCTTTTCTTTTTTGTTTCCCTTAGAAGTTCCCTCTCATATCATATGCGGTAATTATTTTAAAATGGAAAATGCTATAAATTTCAAATAATATATTAATTTTTTTTATCAAAATTTTTATATGAGTGTGGGGTCTATACAAACCTACATGTGTGTTTCACATCTATGTAAAAAATTTGATAAATTATTTAAAATTCCTAACATAATTCTTTTGAAATATAATCAACATCACTTCTTGAGACATAAATAAACTACAATTTTGAATCATAATAAAAATTTGCTCCACTAATTGGACTATAGGTGGATTCCTTTTAATAGAGCACCACTTGAAATTATAACTTAGAGAAACAGAAGTGTAACCATAAATCAGCTTTCGTTTTTATAGATAACGTTAAAGAAAATCAAGAAAGTCCAAAGTTGGGGGCTACTAACAGAGTAGGTACTTTGTAGATTTTTTGTTATATATTTATATTTATATTTATAATGATGTTGGTTTTACATTATTTATTTGGTATGGAGTGAAAAATACAGTAATTTAAATGGTGTGTCTCACGAGTTAATGTGTTCAATTAGGACAAGCCTTGTGTTCACTATCTTTTTCTTTTTAATTTTTTTTTTATTTATTATTTTAGGTGTTGCTTAAGTCTTGGACATACATAACCGGCCAAATAAATTTTATTTTATTTTTTAAAAAAGAAATTTGGTTAGAAATCATCAGCATCTGTGCACATATTATTAACTAATGTGAAAAGTTGCTATTGTCTGCATTCAAGATTTGTAATGACACTTTTTTTTTTTCTTATTATAAATTTTATTCATTATTACAAACAGTGATTAATTTGTTGGTTATAAATTTTTCATTTAAAGAGATTATTATATATCATAAGTAAGTTATGATATTTTGTGATATTAATTAATTATTTTAAATATTACTTTAGAATGTGTTTACGAGACCTTACAAAAGCACCTTATGATGTGAATTATTATGCAATTTTGTAAAGTTTTTATTATAATATTTTATAGTGTTCGTCAATTGTGATTAATTAAGAAAGTCGGCATGATACAAGCCCAAAAACAAATATTAAATAAACCTCAATTTCATGAATCACGAAAGAGATATTTATACTAATATTTAATTTAGGGTTAATTATACATCACTTATGATGTTTAAATAAAAATAGGGTAAATTACATTTTGCCCCCTTTATATTGTCTACTTTTTCACTTTGGCTCTTAAAATTTATTTATTTTTCCCACTTTGGCCTTTCATGTTTTAAGTTTTTCTTAATTTACTCTTAAAATTAATTCATATTCAAAATTAGACAGAAAATACTACGATAACTATCACATAATATAATAATATTTTATTATATATAATTCAAACCTCTGATAAAAATTCAAATTCTATTATCATATTATATTTTTTAAAGGTAGTAAAGGTAAATTTTTATTTTGTAATTCTTTATCAAATTTACTAGTTATGGCAAGGCCAGATATGTTGAACTTCTTTATCAAATTTGCCAGTTATGATAAGGCCAGATATGTTGAACACTCATCATCCATCAATGGGAATGATGTCGAGTTAAACAAAGATTATATTTGATTTATTAGTATGAAATGAAATAGACACGACTTATTTTATACATACAATCTAATATATTATTATCCCACTAATCATGTCCACAATTCCATATTATCCATCGTCATGAATGCTAGTTTGTAATTTATCATTGGAAAAAGGTTATATTATACTACGAGATCTCTTCTTCTTCTTTTTTTAACCTTTTTTTTTTCTACTTTAATTTTGAGTATAGGTGGATTCCTTTTAATAGGAGCACCACTTCAAATCATAACTTATACAAAAGTATAATCAAGATCACTTGTGTCGAATAAACATTAGTGTAACTACAAAATCAGCCTTCATCTTTATAGACAAACAAAAGAGAAAGTCAAAAGTTGGGGGCTACTGACAGAGAAGCCATTCAGTAGGTATTTTGTAATTTTTTATAGTTTATAGTTTATTTATTTATTTATTTATTTTTGGGTACATCAGAAATGAATAGTTTATAGTTTATAACGATGGTGGTTTTACATTATTTATTTAGTATGGAATGAAAAATACAATAATTTAGATGGTCACGAGTTAATTAGGGGGTATAAATTTAGTTCAATTTGGTCTAGTCTATCTGGCCCAGGCTCGAATCGGCTCATGTCAAGCTGCTTGGGTTCTCGTCAAAATTCAGGCCGGGTTATAAGTCAGAAAATTAAGCCTAGGGTTAGGTTCAGGAGGTATTCGGGCCTTAGACAAGTTAGCAGGCTGGTCCTATGACTGGGCCCGAGCTTAAGTTGGGTCTGGGAGGGCCTGAATATATATATTTTTTATTTATATTTTTTTCATTAAAATTTTATTCTTTTCTATTAAAAATGATACTACGTCGGATCTCGGGTCGGGTTTTAAGTGAATCTTAAACGGGCCACGGGTGGGCCAGACAGACTGGGTCCACAAGTCAAGCTGGACTTCAAAATAATGGCTCAAACCTAAGATCTCGAGCTAGGTTCGGGCTTGGACCCAAACTCCGGACCACAGACATTTGTACACTTATAGAGTTAATGTATTCAATTAGGATAAGCATCGTGTTCACCTTATTTATTTATTTATTTATTATTTTAGGTGTTGCTTTAGTTTTGGACATACATGAGTGACCAAATATTTAAAAAAATAAATAAATAAGAAGATGAAGAAGAAGAGAATAGTTACAAATCATCAGCATCTATGCACATATTATTAACTAATGTAAAAAAGTACTATTGTCCTGATTCAGATTTGCAATGACGCTCTTTTTTTTATTTATTTATTATTTATTATTATAAGCAGTGATTAATTGGTTGATTATAACATTTTCATTTTTAAAGAGATAATACTTTCTAGTATTACTTAAAACTGTGTACCATAAAATAAGAGTTATGAGGCTTTATAATTGTTTAGAAACTTGTAAATTTTTTTTTTTTTTTTGGTTACAAACACTTAAATTGTTTGGATCATGAATATTTTTTTTTCCCTCTAAATTTTTATCTAAATTCATAATCTAAACAGAGTTTTAGTGATATGAATTGTTATGAGAATTTATAACGTGTTTTATTATAATAATTTATATTGTTATTCATCACTAATCGTGACTAATTACAAAAGTCGACATGACACGCTAAAAAAACTAGTTTTAGAACAAACCTCAATCTCATGAATCATTAGAGAGAGATTTTTTTATGTTAATATTTAATTTAGGGTTAATTATACATCACTCATGATGTTTACAAACAATTTATATATTATAAATTTATAAATTTGATATAATTATATTAATTTTTTTATAGTAAAGTTAAATTGATCACAACTAGTCCAATGATGTGTAGGTAAAATTACATTTTAATATAAAAGGCAATATTAATTTTACATTAATATGATTACAATTGATTAAAATAGATTAATACTGTGTTTGGATTATGAGTTTAGGTAAGTACGTATTTAGAAAGAAAAAATGGGTGAAATATATACGAATTCATTATCAAAATACAACCTAAGTGAGATGAAAATTAAAATATAAAAGGAACTAAATGCAATTATACTAAATGTGTAAAGTTCAATGTATTTTCTCAAAATTTTAAAAGAAATTAGTTTAATTTACCATTCAATTTATTATGAGTGTTATTTATTAACCTGTACTTTCCGAGTACATAATAAAAAAACTTGCAAAAATATATATTTTTTATTATACGCTATGAGAATTTTTATAATATTTTTCGTTCCAAAACTCTTTCATTATTCTCGCTTCGACGCTGGAAATAGGAAACACTTTGGTTGGGGATATTGAAATTAGCATTCTGACGATTAAATTAAATTGTACATGAGAGGGAATGAGTATATTCTTTCAGAGAGAGAATTCTCAATTGGTTTATAGTATATAACTTCCTTTTTCTATTTATCTTATTTATATAGCTATTTGGTGTAGATATTTCTTATATAAGTTTACCCGTTTGTCATTATCACGTCATGGTCTAATTTTCTATTACACCTCTAGAAAAGAACAGCCTGGGCTCACTTTAGTGCCCAACACGAGTGTCAGCCGATTTTATCAGTATCACTTATTCAACATACCGTTTGATCAGCGGACATACTATTTTAACATCTAATTTTTAACAAATTCAATGAACCTAATTATATTTGGGCCTTATACGAATGGGTCGAAGTTATCTTGTTTGCCAATTATGCACATATTTTACTCGGCTGATACACACTTTAAATTTTTATTTTTTATTTTTTATAATTTCGTACATGTTAATAAAGTAATTTATTGTTGTGTGTGTCTTCATTTATTTATTCACTTGTAGTCTGAATAGAAGAAAAAAGACTAGTACTTGTTTGGTTGTGTTTTATAATGGCTTCAACGAATCAAAAACTCTTATGGGATGTTTGTTTCTTCGTTTGGCGTTTTCTCAATTACTGCTAAAACCTAATCAGGAACAGGAGCCATGAGTCCTTATCCTTCTCCTCACCTAATAAATACATCCCACCAAACGTCTTCCACTAGTGTGGGTGCCCACCACTTTGGTGTACTTCTCCCGCCAAATGTTTTTACTCTCTCACAATCACCCCTACTCGAAGTCATCATCTACAAAAGCTATGATCAAATGTTTTTAGCCACACGATTCGAAAATAGAAAACAAAAACGTTAACAAATGATCTCATACAGACATGTTTTGAAATAGGCTCTACTTATATTTTAGCAAAGAGTTACATATAAAAAAAAAAAGAAAAAAAAAGAGTATAATGTTGTGTTTAGTTGAGAGATTTTGGGAGGAGTTTAGAAAGGAAAAGAGAAAAAGTGTGTGAAACTAGGTAAAATGTGGGTATATTTTATTCACATTTCACCTAACTTTTCCCTTTCTATTTCCAAATCCCTCCTCAAATCCTCCAACCAAACACAACGTAAATAATTTTCATATAAGTAGTGCTATATATCTATATTTTGGATCTTTTATTTGATTCACAATAATGTGAAAAGAGAGATAGGTCTTATACAATAAAGTGGTGATAAATTAAAAATTGACATATGTCTTATCATATCATTATAGATCACATTGTGTGAGATTTTGTGTGGGTCATAAATATTTTTTTTTTTTATACATAATGATGTGGCTTAAGGTGGATATTTTATTTCAAAACAAAACACCGTAAAAGATAATTTTATTTACAATAATAGTATTACCACATTATTTTTGTCAATTTTTTTTTGTATGAATTTTATGTAAAAATAAAAACTTCATTTGAAAATTTCTGCACATGATTCAAACAGACGTGGTCTTAAATATTATTGGACTATGAACATTGCTATAAACAAGAATGTAAAATAGCTCAGTATTAATGATTTTCATAGTTTTAAATGGTAAGACCTAAATTTGCCACATGTTTTTATATGGATTATTTACATAATTTCTCGATAATACCACTGAGAAAAATGTTCCTCATACAAGTGAAAATTGTGACATGGACGCAACTTTCAATTGATTCGACTTACACCTCTATACAATTATTTTGGAGCTATTCTCATGTCTCGTTTGGGATCATACTTTTTTAGTAACTTTTTAATTTTTTAATTAAAATGTAATGTAAAAAAAATTAGTATATATGAGATGACTTTTTAATTTTTTACGAAAAGATATGTAAAAAATAGAAAGAGAAAGGAATCTTTGATTTTTTTATATGAATTTTTGACTTTTTAATTTTTTTAGTGACTTTTTAATTTTTTAACTAAAAAAATCACTTTTCAAACAAGACTAAGTTAAATATAATTTTCTCAATTTTATTTTTATTTGAGCAAAGGAGTGAGTAGTCACACCTAAGATTTCTTTTAATCAAGAATCTATGACTACCGAACAGGGCCTCAGAGTTTAAAGTTGCAAAAGTTCCAACTACCCATCAAAGTTGGACAACAACTTCCTCGATGTCAACTACCATTCCTCATTGCTTTTTTTTTTCTCACCTCCCATTCTTCTTTCCAAAGGTCCACACCATCAAGACCTTTGTCTCCTAGGACTCTCCCTGTCCAGATATATCTCCCTATTAATACTACTTACAGCCCTCTCTTCCATTTCCAAACCCCTACACTCCAAAGTGCAGTTGCTTCTTATTTATTTGCTTCTTCATTCAACACATAAATCATTATTAGCCCTTGAAGAGTTCTCACACCTGGCACTTTTGTTTTGGACTACAATGGCTGACCTTGAACACTCTACTTCTGATGATGCCTCTGTGGACTCTAGAGGTACCCATTTCAAATTAATAACTTATCTCCTCGGGGTTTTGATTGTAGCTCTCTGTTTTCTTCATATAAGGTGTATTGCCTTGTGGGTTTCCTTGGCTTCTATTTTTTTTCCTATTGGGTTTTTGGGGTGTGACGGGTTGGCTTAATGGTAAGACTAGTAACTTTTAAATCTTAAACCCTAAAACTTTTTTGGTTTTGGGTATTTGATTTGATGGTAACCACATGAATATAATCATCTCTCTCTCTCTCTCTCTCTCTCACTGTTGTGTGTGTGTGTGTGTGTGTTTGTGTGCATGCAGCAGAAGACCCCAGTCAAGATTCCAAACTTGAATTTTCAGAGGATGAGGAAACACTGATCACTAGGATGTACAATCTGGTTGGAGAAAGGTGGGCTTATTTTTTCATGTCTTTACTTTCCTATCCTTTTTTTTCCCCCTCATTTGAATCACTTTTTAACTTTCTATGTTTTAATAAAAGGCAATGTTGCTATGATTCTTTAGGTGGTCTCTCATTGCCGGGAGAATCCCAGGAAGAACTGCAGAGGAAATTGAAAAGTATTGGAATTCAAGATATTCCACAAGTGGATGAAATGCCAGGAAAATCTTTGGTGTGGTCTCAACAAGAGCAAGAAAATTTTGGAGTGCTTCTAGCAATGTTTTGTTAATTAAGCAGAGAATTTCTGAAGAAGAACTGGTGTGATGCTATTGGGGACATTTTAAAGATGCTAGTGTTTGTACAATGGTTTGGTGTGTTGAATTGTTTGGTATTTTGGTCATCAATTTCCCCCTTTCTGTGCAATGAAATATCATGATTTGAAAACCTTGCTAGCCCTTTGATTTGAATGGATTGGTCAAATTTCACATAGAAGTATAAACTTCTTTGGCATATCTCAATGTGAGAGCAAGGTGAGGGCGACTCTCATTGCCAAACAGAGTCTAATAAGAAATAGAGCTGCCAACGCTAGCAGTGCCTTTTCTGCAATGATCTTGCCACGGTAATAAAACAGTTTTAAGTTTAAAATTTAATTAAAATGAGCTCGTTTTGGGGCGTAGTTGTACTAAAAACCATAGCAAGATCATTGCAGATAAAAAATGACAGAGGATCCAAGTCTGAAGTCTGCAGAATAAAATTTCATTACCAAAAAAATGAGATTATGGTTGAATCACTTAAGTTAATTCTGGTGATTATTAAAAAATGTATTGTATGTAGTGATGATTTTTAAGACATTAATTGCGAAACCGAAATAAATTAGTGGGGAAGATGGTTAAAAATTATTTTTTAATTTTTAACTTATTTTGGATCAAATTATCTCTTTATTTTTTTATACATTCTTTTAAAAAAAAAATTTAAAAATTAACTTTTAATCAACTTTAAAAAAAAAACTCAGTACTTCTTTGTCATCATAAAATCTGTCTTTTTAAAGAAAATTTGCTTCTTGATAGAAACAACTTCAAAAAAAAAGCTATAAAAAGTCCATTTAAACTGCGCCGAACAAAACAAACCGAGGTTTTCATTGTTTTTTATTTAAAATTTGTATCAGGGCGTTTGACGCAGCTTATATAGCAAAATAATTTAAATAAATTTAAAAAAAGTATGATTATTAAGAAGTTGAAGAATATTTTTAGTTTGTACCTATTAAAATTATCAATTTTTGAATTCTAAAGCTACACCAAACATGATGTCATTGATGTTGTATGTCTAGGAATTTTTTTAAAATGTTGGACAGTTTCAGTGAAAAGTAAATCTCATTTTTTTATTTTATTGGGTGATAATAAGATCAATTTTAATAGTAATAATAAGAATCATATTATGTGATATGTTGCATCAATTTCATTAGGAAGTCCACGAAAACTATCTCGTTCATCACATATGATTTTACTCATCAATGGTTAATTTTCCTCCCATACTCAAATCTAACGGTGGACGTTTGTTTTGGTGAATGGTGCACCCTTTGATTACCTCTCCTCCCACTAAGCCAAATCTCTTGAAATTAGGTGCATATAAACTGGCATGGACACCCTATTAACAAAAAAATAAAAATAAAAAATTCCAAAATTGATTTACTGAGACAGCAGAACTGAAAATTTGAGAACTAGAGATAACAGTGTGTCTGTATGCACACAAAGAAGGATAAAGATCAAGCCTTCCACTGCCAAACCCAGCCTGTCTGAGAGGCCCACATTATTGGCCCAAATCGTATTGTTTAGAACCTGCCAGTGTTAAAGCTTGCTTGGTTCCATTTTTTCAAAAACACGTTTTAAAAAAATTTATTTTTTTATTTTTCGTATTTTTTATTTTACTGAATTTTTTTAATATTTTAAGAATTTTTTTTACTTTTTAGATGCACCTAACATAAATACATTTTAAAAGTAAAAAAAATGTAAAAAAAATCTTTTAAAAATTCACTAAATACAAAAAAATACAAGAATTCAGTACATTTTTTGTATTTCTATATATTTATTAATTTTTTAAAATATTTTTTCACAAATTTTTTACTTTTTAGATACATCTAAAAAAGTTTTAAAAAAAAATGTTTAAAATTTAAAAAATATTCACTAAAAATAAAAAATATGAAAATCAAAAAACTCAATTTTCAAAAAACTTAATCCAGAAAACTCAAACCAAACACACTGATTATTTTATTTTTTTTTAAATGATGCCACTTGAAGTTCCCTTCGCTGATAAGCCAAAAAAAAATAAAAACGAGTTGCTTGGAAGTATCTGATAATTTTTTTCAGAAAGAAAAAGTCAAATGCAAAAGATGTGGACTATTGAATTGGATGACTTTACTATTGATCTCAAATTAGCAATTTTAATAATGTTAGGTGCTTAAAAATTCTATTAAATATTTCATATGAACGTGAAATCTATATGTTACCCATATTAGATATTTAGTAAAAATTTTAATAAAATTTTTGAAAATTCTAATATTACTCCAACAATTTTGGTGAAATATTCGTAAGTTGTGCATGAAGACAGCTACATTTTGATTGATATGATTTGTCAAAGCCGTCTCAAAATGATGGTTTGGAATATCCGGTGAAAAAATTATTAGGAGTTCTAATAACGAATTTTTAATGAATTTTAATGGGGTGGATTTCATAGTGATAGTGATAGTGATAATGATAGTTGTAATTTTTTTTTTTGGGGGGGTGGTTTTAAATTATATGATATTCTCTGAAATTTATATTTATTGCAGTTTTTTTTTTTTTTTAAAATTACATCTCTTTTTTGGAGATTTAAAGTTTCATTACAGATTGTTTCATCAGTTAGTTGACTGTTAAGTCAACTAACTGATTTTGCTGATATCAGCAATTTAATTTTTTTTAAATACCAATTTTGCTCTCACTGGATAAATTACATTGACACCCTTCACATTTTAGAAATTACAATCTCTTTCCTAAGGTTTAAAGTAACATTACCAATTGCCCCCTCGGTTAATATTAGTTGAAAAAAAAATTCATTGAAAAAAAAATTATTGAAAAAAATTTTGTTAGTCAAAATTTTAAATTTCTGTTTAAAAACCAACGTAAACTCATTTTTTAAATTTATGTTTTTTCCTCAAATTTACAAACTGAGACAACCATTTATAAATCAAAAAAATTATCAAACAAATTTTTATGACAGTTTTTAAAATTTTTGTAAATATAAATTGAAAACTGAAAACGAGATAATTACCAAACAGGTCTCAGATGGTAAAAATGTTTTAAAATTAACAAATAATTAATTTAACTTACCAACGTAAGAAATGACTTATCAAAATATTCTTAGGCTATGTATGGTTTGATTTTTTTAAAAAAAAAAATTAAAAAATTAAAAATTAATTTGGTTAAGAAATAAAAAATAAAAAATAATTATCATTTTTATATAATGTTTATCTTTCGAGTGGTTAGAAATAATTTTTTCCAAATTAAATATATTTTTCATATTTATTTTTATTAAATTAGTTTTTTTTTTTAAATGTCAGGGGAGATCCGTATTAAATTGAAATCTCAGAGGGTGTCAATGTAATTTATCCTTTAAAGTATATATAAAGGTTAAGGGTAAATATGTCATTTTAACTTAAAAGTTAATACCGTCAAATAATTACATTGAGAAAGGGGTCACTGTAATTTTCCAAATGTGAGGGAGAAAGTGTAATAAACATAAATCTCAAGGGGTGTCAGTGTAATTTACCTTTTTCTTTTTTTTTTTTTTCATTGCCAAGTGTATAAAGTTATATTTAGAGCTCCATTTTTAAGGAATGTGTTATTTTCCTATCCGGTGAGATGTTTGGGGATTTCAACAATGATTTAGACCATTAAAAAATACATCACTAATAGTACTAATGCATTGAGAATGGTAAAAAAAAGAAAAAAAAGAAAAAGAAATAAGGCATAGAAAGTGGGGGGGTAAATTATATGATATTCTCTGAGATTTATATTTATTACATTTTTTTTTTTTTTGAAAATTACATCTCTTTCTTGGAGATTTAAAGTTTCATTACAGATTGCTTCACAGTCAACTAACTGATTTTGCTGATATCAACAATTTAATTTTTTTTAAATACCAATTTTGCTCTCACTGGATAAATTACATTGACACCCTTCACATTTTAGAAATTACAATCTCCTTCCTAAGGTTTAAAGTAGCATTACCAATTACCTTTCATTACAGATTGCTTCATCAGTTAATTGACTGTTAAGTCAACTAACTGATTTTGCTGATATCAACAATTTAATTTTTTTTAAATACCAATTTTGCTCTCACTGGATAAATTACATTGACACCCTTCACATTTTAGAAATTACAATCTCTTTCCTAAGGTTTAAAGTAGCATTACCAATTGCCCCCTCGGTTAATATTAGTTGAAAAAAAAATCATTGAAAAAAAAATTATTGAAAAAAATTTTGTTAGTCAAAATTTTAAATTTCTGTTTAAAAACCAACGTAAACTCATTTTTTAAATTTATGTTTTTTCCTCAAATTTACAAACTGAGACAACCATTTATAAATCAAAAAAATTATCAAACAAGTTTTTATGACAGTTTTTTAAATTTTTGTAAATATAAATTGAAAACTGAAAACGAGATAGTTACCAAACAGGTCTCAGATGGTAAAAATGTTGTAAAATTAACAAATAATTAATTTAAGTTACCAACGTAAGAAATAACTTATTAAAAGATTCTTAGGCTATGTATGGTTTGATTTTTTTTTAAAAAAATTAAAAAATTAAAAATTAATTTGGTTAAGAAATAAAAAATAAAAAATAATTATCATTTTTATATAATGTTTATCTTTCGAGTGGTTAGAAATAATTTTTTCCAAATTAAATATATTTTTTCATATTTATTTTTATTAAATTAGTTTTTTTTTTTTAAATGTCAGGGGAGATCTGTATTAAATTGAAATATTAGAGGGTGTCAATGTAATTTACCCTTTAAAGTATATATAAAGGTTAAGGGTAAATATGCCATTTTAACTTAAAAATTAACACCGTCAAATAATTACATTGACAAGGGGGTCAGTGTAATTTTCCAAATGTAAGAGAGAGAAAGTGTAATAAACATAAATCTCAAAGGGTGTTAGTGTAATTTATCTTTTTCTTTTTTTTTTCATTGCCAAGTGTATAGAGTTATATTTAGAGCTCCATTTTTAAGGAATGTGTTATTTTCCTATCCGGTGAGATGTTTGGGAATTTCAACAATGATTTAGACAACTAAAAAATACATCACTAATAGCACTAATGCATTGAGAATGGTAAAAAAAAGAAAAAAAAAAGAAATAAGGCATAGAAAGTGGGCAGGGCCTACTGCCACATCATTAGTGCTCCATTTCTAG